AAACAAGATTGACAATATAAAAATTATAATAACTTACTAACACAGGGTTCAAAAACTGGCTACCTGCATTACTAGCCACTGGGCAAGTGATTTCTAAAATTTACTAGCCCGAAAGACCACTTGGTAGCCTGCATCAATTTCCCTCAAGGTCTACTTCAACCCCAAACACGCAAACCTTCCTCTAAACTTATTGGCAAGGGTCTTTTAAAATTTGTTGTTGTTAACATTGTATCAGAAACACCTGCTACGATTTCTGCCTCATCTTCACCCCACTCACCATCACCAGAACATTTCTGCTTCTCTGCATTGATGCTCTGAGAATTGCCTAAAATGTTATCTTTTCCCAGGCACTCTTGAAAGTCCTCAATACTATCATTTAGTTTCCACTTCTCATTGAAGGTTATACCTTCCTCTTTATAAAAAGGGAACTGAAAGCCACTTAGCTGCTTGAAAAACCCTATGTGGTCTGACATTCAAAGACAAAGCTGAACTTTTATATTTTAACTTTCTCTTTAACTGAATTTTAATGGTTCCACTTGCACTTTCAACTCTTGGTAAAATGTGAACAGTATCAGTTATATCTGCAGGGACATTAACAACATTGCCACTTATTTTTAACTGTTTACCTCTTGGAGCTTGTAATAGTTTTTGAAAAGCTAGTCTTGGTGCAACCAGTCTACATTCCAACTCATTTAAGTCAATAAACTCTGGTTTCTTAGGAAACTGCAATCCATTTATAGCAGCTTGAGGTGAAACTTTATTCTTCTTTAAGTACTTGTGACATGAATTGCACAACCACTCCTGATCATCAAAACTTTTTTTTATCCAGAGTATATTTTCCAAGGTTATTATTAGATGACTTAAATGTTTCAGCCAAAATGACACTGCCTATACCATAATTGGTCACAACAGCTACATGTATATATTAGACCTTTAGATACAAGACTGTGAAACAGAGAGATGGCATGTCCTAACATTGCTTTTGTCTCCTTGCAAGTATCTCTTTGTACTTCAAGTCTTTTTGCTCTATCATCATTACTTTCATTAGCTCTTCTCTTTCTCATATATTGTCGCATATAAGTTGTGCAGTTTTCCTCCTTGTCGATAGCACAGGTTTTTGACTTCTTAGAAGGCAAATTACCTGTTTTGTTACTTTTCTCTGCTGGTATACATATATAAGCAGTGTTTCCAACTGTGTGTATTATTAAAATGACTGTGACAATTTCATGATGAAGTCAATTGGCCAGAGGCTTGAATAGTTGAGACATAATGATATTCGTCAATATGTCCTATGAAAATGGTTCTTGCACCTCTGAGGCAATTTAAGGGATGTATAATAGTTTGTTCAGCAAAGTTATGATGAGATTCAACAAAGTGAATTATAAGATTCATTGACTCTGCAACTCCTTGTATTATAAGAGCAT